TTATTAGTCACTTCAACTTTCTGTTTCTTCTGTTTCGCTCTTTCTGATTCAGTTGATGATGTTGATTTGGATATTTTCAAGGCTGCTATGTTTGCCTCGGACATTAAGGCCCTATCAAGAACATCCACGTATTTTGGCAATTTTAAGACGCCAACTCGATCAAACACATCTAACTCAAGCCCACCTTCAAATTTTCTAGCTTTTTTGTAATCAGTATCTATCATATGGGGTGCATATCGGGCCAGTTTGGTGAATTTTGTTTCATATTCGGCCACAATCATATCACCTTTTTTAGTTGTTCAAATTCGAATACCTTCCTATACCGGATGCATTGGGGAAAGTATTTTTCGAAGAAAATTTCTTTAAATTCATCCCATGTCACACTCTCATTATCATTTCGTACTAACATCCACCATCTCCTAGCTTCTTCTTTAAGTGTGAATGTTGCCAACAAAACCTTATATGCCTCAGTACACGGAAATATCTCAAATATTTTCTCAGTTTCTAAGACCCAAGCCTCAGTTTTTAACGGTTCAATACCCCCCTGAAATTCTAGTGGTTTCATCTTATTGTATTTCTGTGTCAGTGTTACCATATCATAATTAGCTGATTCAGGTACATGTATTTGCCCTTGTTACTGTTGTTTTAGATTTTCGGTTAAGGCTTCAACCATTCTTTCTAACCGGCTAATTCTAGCGTCAGAAGATTCAGATTCATCTATATTCATTGTCCTTTCCATTAGCTACACACAAACAGGGTGCTTATTAATATAAGGAAAGTTCTCACTGTTCTCACATTTCATTTTATATCAGACGCGTTTATACTTTCATTTCAATTCAGATACAGTCACATGATCCCTTACTTTCATACGTTCATGTTCACATAGATTCCACATTCGGTATTGAAATTAACATTACATGTTATTCTACATAACTTCTTTGATCATGCACAAAGGTTTTATTTCAATGTATTTTCAGTAAGGATGTGTTCATAATAGTTCATACACTTAAACATGGTAACGCAATATCCCTATTTCATTTTTAAGACATCCTATAGCTCATATGGACACGTGTGTGCGGTATAACTTGTACGCTGATACGACTCTGTCACGACCCAAACCCGCCCCTATAGGTTTAGCATCGTAACTGGCCAGTAATCCTTGGATTACCGAAGGCCTCTGAACAGATTAACAAAATTAAGGGGCTAGCGGAAGCTAATACATAAATATAGTTGTCCAATGAGCTGTGCTGACTTATATGAAACAGAATATTTAAAACTTTATATACATAACCGGTAGTCAACCATACATTATACCCACACACATTACAGTATTTTAAGTACAACCAACAACATCAAATCAAGTCTTAAATAAACTGAAACCACAGAACTTAAACACAGGACGCTTTGGGAACTTCCACGTGAGGCATAATGGTTGGCTGACAACAGAACACAGATCCAGGCAAAAGCCTTCAGGCTCGGGCTCCAGAATGCTCACCTATACATATATATACACACAATGAGCTAAAGCCCAATGAATAACATTAAGGTAAAAGGTTTAGTGAACGAAATCCGAATATATCATAAGCAGAAAATAGACCAGAGCATAATCATTCTCATATCAGAACATAATAATGGTACATCCCATAGAACACATCACAGAACGTCTTCCGACTAGAGTAATCGGTTCCGGATACCGATTAAACACATATCACCACAATGAAGTGGCTAACGAGGTCTCGTAATTACTTGTATGTCATGGACCCGTAATTTCATGCCGTCCCCCATGACTTGGAACTATCTATGGATGCCATAACAGATTTCAAACTTGGAATATTCGTTCACAAAAACAGATATCATTTCAGAAATCAGAACTTATCATATTTCATTTGGAACGTAATTCATATGAACGTATCTTTACAATAATGTTACTTACAGTGGTTCCAGCAATGGTCAATCAATCCTCGAGTCTTGACCTATAATCACAAAATACATAACACAAGCATGTCTTATCATTACACATTCAAGTGGCCATTAAGGCTTAGCTTTCATTACATTGGTTCTTATCACATTGCCTAAAACACACACACTTGCAGTCTCAGAACTTAGTACATTCTTTTCTTAGTGTGTTTCTAATCCATAACCTCATTACTATGGCTTAATTAAGGTTTAGGAATGCCTAAGATGCAACGAGGATGCCAAAACATGCCTTGGAACACTTAGGCAAAATTTCTAAAAATAAGGTCCACGCTCGAGCGCAGCTTTCCTCTCTCGAGCGGACATGCAAAATGTGAATGGTCGCTCGAGCGCACATTCCTTCGCTCGAGCGATCTGTAAAAGACATGAAATTTCTGGGAGCTTGCAATTCACGCTCGAGCGAACTTTTGGTCGCTCGAGCGAAGTGCACGCACTTAAATTGGTCGCTCGAGCGTGAACTCCCATGCTCGAGTGTAGATGCAAATTCTAGAATTTCTAAATTGCACCTTCAAGCTCAAAACTTGAATTTCAACTTTCAAAACACATCTCTTGGGCTCCAAAACTTGAGATAACATAGTAAACTTGTAAAACATGAAAAATTTAGGATCATTTCATAAAATCATAGCCCAAGGGTTTGCCAAAAGTTCCCAATTCCAACTTAAACTTCAAGAATGTTTATGAACACAACATGCATGAATTTTTCTTGTATCAAACTTCTCAAAACATGATCAAACACCACAAAACAACTTGAAACTGGATGATTTCCCCAAATGAAGATGAATTTCAAACATGCAATAGAGGATTCATGGAAATCATGCTCAATTTGTAAGAATGCACGCATGAATTGCCACTCAAATCTTTATTCTAAGCTCAATATACACATCAACTCACAATCTTGAAGAAATTCCATGTTAAATGACATAGTTACACAATCTAGAGGTTGTAATCTTACATAGAGTCTTGAATTACTTTTGTTCTAGTACAATCTTTGATCAATTCAAGCTATAGCCTTCAATTTCTCCTTAATCTCTTCTTATCTCTCTCTAGAATTGTGCTCCCTCTCTCTCTAAAATGTTTCACCAGATTTTTCCACTCAAGGGATAAAAGAAAATGAGCTCAAAATGAGCTTATGTCTCATATATATGTTTATGGTGCTAAATCACATTAATTAGAATATTAGGCTAACCAAACACGACTTAATAAATCAGACTGAATCAATTTTTAATAAAATTTGCCATATGGTTCTAAAAATTTCAAATAACATATTGACGTAATCAATTTCGATTTCGGATGCCGATAAGGCTTTCAATTTACATATTAAAGTGGAATTCCAAACAGACATTTCTATAAGTAACAGATAGAAGGTCAAAATCATACAAAGTGCAGAATAAACAAATAATTTATTTTAATCCTCTCATTAACATCATTAAATACGGATTAGTGGCTAATTACGGATAAGGGTTGTTACAATAAGATTTTGGTTTAGTTGACTATGTGTTTGAATGATCCTAGGTATACAAGATGTTGACTACTGATATGTGGTGAGAGTTATTATTAAGTACATGTGAAATGTTTTGATATGCCATGTAAGCATAGCTCATTGGACAAAATTTTTAAGTCTGCTTCCGTTTGGTCCCTTAACTCTAATGGAGTATATTCTAATCTGATTTGAGGCCGTAAGTAATCTCATGATTACTGGCCGGTTATGACCTTAATCTATAGGGGCGGATTCGGGTCATGACACCACCGCCACATATCTCATTAACAGGCTTCCTAGCAAAAATCTTTCTGGTTTATCTCCTTATGAATTACTCTATAAACATCCTCCTCACTATTCTAACCTCAGAGTCTTTGGTTGTTTGTGTTACTCCTGGCTTAAGCCCTATTCTCGTCATAAATTGGTTCATTAATTGAACCATGTAAACTGGAAACATGAGATTTCTCATTAACAAATAACATCATCACATTGTATTATATTATACAAGCCTGAAATTTCATGGCTCGCATGGTTCGAATGTCTCAAAACGATATCGTTTTTGGTGTAAAACAATGTTGTTTTGACACATTCGAGTTTAGACCACACAAATTTAGGCCACCAAGTATTTTTTTTTTTTTTTTTGTGAGGACGAAGACTGTGCTCTTTATATGGTATGAATATAGAAGAGTGTAATAGTGACATTATTTTATATAGTGCTACTAATAAATAAAAAAATTATAAACGAGTAGTTAGATTTTTTTGTCATTCATTAATTGAACCATGTAAACTGGGAATATGAGATTTCTCATTAACAAATAACATCATCACATTGTATTATTTTATACAACAATGTTAGGTAACTCGAAATTTCATGGCTCGCATGGCTCGAATGTCTCAAAATGATGTCGTTTTAGGTGTAAAACGACGTTGTTTTGACACATTCGAGCTATTCGGACCACACAAATTCAGGCCACCAAGTATTTTTCTATATTATATTATACCTAATATTTACTCGAAGTCTACATCTTTCGAGGATTATTTTACGAATGAAAAACGTTATACATAGACCTTATTTGGTGTAACTTTTACATGTTAAAAGTTAATAATTAAAAAGTAAAAATTAAAACACCAATTTCCATGCTTTTCAATAATTTTTTTTCCAACTAATTTTAATTATTTTTGTCTCATAAATTGTAAGCATAAGATACCAAACATTTTGATATAAATTTCTAAAATAAAAAAATAAAAACTATAGACAGCTCCACAGGCTGCACTAAAAGGACAATACACTTAAAAAGATTTTATTTGATTGATTTCACTTATGGCGTGACTGTTTAGCCATTTCTAAGATTTAAGAGAGTTAGAAGTTACCTGTAGAGCAGTAGCTCCTCTGACTCACACAAGCTTCATGACTCCGCTATCCTCAACAAACGAACCCAAGATCTTCCATCTTTTCGGCCACGTAGTTTCTGTGTGTGTGTGTGTTTAAAACTATATATAGAGAAGGACCTTCATAGATTAAGACCATGCAAAGATTTAAATTTGCAAGATGGCTTTACCAAAATATGTTTCCCTTGCCTTCTTTCTAATATGTTTAACCCTTGGCTCTGCTCAGAGGGTCCTCTTAGATGATAAAAAGACAAAACAATCAATCTTGGCTGGAGGTGGTGGAGGCGGAGGCGGTGGCTACGGGAGTGGCAGTGGTTCTGGTAGTGGGGGTGGTAGAGGCTCCGGTAGTGGGGGTAGTGGGGTTGGCTCTGGGGGTGGAAGCGGGTACGGTGGTGGTGGGGGCTATGGGAGAGGCGGCGGCTCTGGTAGTGGGGGCAGTAACCCTGGTGGTGGAGGTAGTGGTGGGGGTTACGGTGGAGGCAGTGGTAGTGGTAGTGGTTATGCCCCTGGAGGAGGCTATTATCCACCGCCGCTAACTGGGCCCTACTACCCTCCTCCTGCTCCTGGCTTTGGTTGGCCCACCATTCCTACTCCTCCTATTTATGGGCCTGGGCCTGGTTGTGGCTGCGGATATGCCCCTGGATCCGGAGACGATGGAGGAATTATTAATGGGCTGGGCGGTGGGGCCCATAATGAGCATGTTACTTATTGGGCCAGAAAGATGGATCAAGAAGCCCACACCGGTCATGGGTCGTTTCAGTACAACATGAAAGATGGTGAGCCTGCGCCACCAGACTGGTCAGCTCCAATGGCAGATGAAGAAATGGAAAATGATCAAAATCATAAGATGAATATGAATATGAATATGAATATGAATCACAAGATTGATCCTATGATGAATGTGAATCGCAATCTTGATTCTCCCAGTCATCATTAGGATTTAGAACTGGGCCTATTTAAAGGCTGAAGTTGAATAAAAACTTCAAAGTATGAATGAAAAATAAGCCTTTTTTGGTTCAAGGAAAACCATACTGAAATTGAAATTCAATCATTATTCTCAGTGTCTCTTATTTCTTTTATGTTTGTTTCAAGTAACCAAAACATATTATAAATCAAGCAGAAAGTTGTAGCCAATCAACCCAACTTCAATTTTGAAGCAGTGCGTGCAAATCAAGAGAACAAATTTACAAAAAAAATAAATAAATAAAACTGTATATATTAGAGACCGTAACATAAGGGGAGAAAATTCTAACATATATTTATGCTGCTTAATATATCTTCCAAGGCACACGTTAATGAGAGTAAGAGAAAAAGAAAGGATATAATTTCATTTCTCTTCCCTTTTCTTTCTTTTCCCTCTACAATCCAACATTCAAACACAACCTAAGCAAACTAACATGAGAAAGAGTATGGGAATTAGGAAAGCTCGTATGATATCATTAATCATTATCTGCAAGTTTCTAACATTTCAAGATTCTTTTACAACAAAACCTCATATACCAATTTCTTTGTCCTACAGATCATGTTACAACTAACAACCATATCTCAAATATTAACAGATCAAAGCTCCAATTTCACCATATTCTTCCATCTTCATTGTAGCATTTTCATACCTATTATTCATTCTCTTCTGGCGGGCATTGAAGACGATCTTGTGAACTCTTGCTGGAGAATTCTTGATGAAACTGAGGAAGAAACTGAGGCACAAGGCCGAAGGAGAGGTGTGCTGATTCGACTTGAAGCTTCATTAGCAATTGGGAAAGGACTAGTTGTAATGATAATGGGATGGCATTGTAATTCTATTTCTGCATCTGCAGCGGGGGCCGCTACTTGAGGGCTATCAAGCAGCTGGTGATCGTCTTCCTCAAGTGACATCACTGTGCTTGTGTCCGTGTGTATAGTTGAATCATCGGTGAAAATTCCCAGCCTTCTTTTCCTCCTGGCTTCCTTTCCCCATCCATGGATTGTCTCTCTTATTCTCTGTGGAATTATGGCTGCCTTGTAGTTTGTTCCCATCTGCCAATGAAAGGAAAGCCAAAATTGCCAATCATTCAGCCGAGATTTCAAAAAGAAATGAAATCTTGATAAAAGAAGCTCAAGAATGACATAAAGGCTCAACAAAAATTAAAATTATAGGAGAGAGAAATATATAAATTTACATTTTTTTTTTTTTGTTTTATTAATGGATTCCAAGTTATTTTATCAAACTTGTAATGTGTTTTATATATGTCTAATTGTTGAGAAATGTCATGTTGATGTCAGACAATTAAATGCACTATCAAGTAAGGAGGGAGGGAACTCCCCCATAGGCTAGCTCCCCTTAGAAGAAATGGGCTATTCAGGACGGCAAAGTTCAAATTCACTTCAAGAACTAGAAGAAGTGACTGTGTTTCTTATATGTTGACTTACAAAGCTACAATTAAGTCACATAAATTTGGGGAAAAAGCGTATAACTTCATATTTTAATGATCCGGAAAATTTGTTTAGGTGGCTCATTTAGTCAGGAACTAGTTTACTCTCTTTTTTCAGCTGTGAGTCTAACTAGCCTAATTATCTACAGCAGGAACCAGAGGGCCAGGTCACATATAGTTCAAATAATTGAAGTTGAGACTTCAAGATATGAGGACATGCACAATTATCTGTATGAACCATCAAATTTCTAACCATCCAAGACAGCAATACCAGGAGGCAAAGGATCTTTGGATACACAAAGTATTGAAACTCTACCTGAGATAGAAACCCATGCACCAAAAGTTACTTGCAAATGCTCAAACAAAATGCTAGTGAACACGGCTCATGGATACAATTCAACAGGTATTTATATAAGTTGCACTTCCTTGGTCATGATGGTTTTTGACTCTAGAACCTTTTTCTAAAATGACACCTCTTCCCCCAGGGTGCCAACCCAACAAAACAAAACAAATAATTAGAACAAAAATTGTACCTGAGTAACGAGAGCATATAGTGGCAAGGTGCTGTAGCTACATAGGAACTGCCCAGCAAATCTAGAAGACAAAATAATAATTTATGTCAAGCATTTGATTTAAATTTTAGAGGTCGAAATGTGTAAAATATATCAACGATGGCTAGTGGAATGCCATAAGTACCCCAGGATCAGGCGCAGATACACAAGCAAATGGTTCCTGATGAAGCAAGAACTATACCCAAACTGCCACTGTAAATTAAACAACACACTTTGGTCAAAAAACAGATTTTATATCCCACATATAAAGTAAAACAGAATAACTAATTTCATGTGTGTGCGTGTCACACAGACACTAAATTTTTGTGCTTTATAATCTCACATTCCATTACAAATTGCTTTGAACTGCTTTTCCATTGGCTAGTCAAAGTCACAATTAATTTGTGATAATTTTTTGAGGGGGGGCCAAAACAAACTTAGTTTCAAGAAATCATCATGATGCTAACCAAATTATAGTTAAAAATGGAAATGATCTACTAGACAAATATGACTTGGTTAAGACTTGAGCAAAATGGAAAATTTACAAATTCAGCACTCCAATGAGAACTAACGTAGTCATGGAAAAAGGAAGTACCCAAAACCAGAAAAATGAAGCGAGCTCAAATGCATTCTGCATCACGAATCAAACATGGAAAATATTGTATTAGTTACCAGTCTCCCAGTGGAATCCAGAAAATACATCACTATAAAAATAAGCTAATAAAAAGAACAACTTCAGAAACTGAAGCATGACAAACCAAGCCAACCTGGAAAAGAATAAAATGGATCAAGGACAACAATAGTTGCGGCTTTTTAAACCAGAAAAGATCATCTCGAGGCTTTAATTTTGCTCCAGTGGAGAATCTAGTTATTCCAGCACTCTCCAATGCCAAGGTTGCAATAATGTGTTGCAACTTTGCACCCACCAGAAGAACAAGCTGTACAGAAATATGTGTTATCAGAAGAGCATGATATGGGAGAAACATGTCATATAACAAATTGGGGACTTATGGAGGTCTCTTTCACATTTAAAAGGCAGGATCTAGAGGAAAAGGAAATGTGACTGTTTCAATTCGTACCCTACCTCTCAAAAAAAAAAAATTTAATAAATAAGGCTTTCTAATTTATCATTTCATCTATTCTTTCTAACTTATCCTTTTAAAAGCAAACAACAGAAGCAAACTTGGTATTCCTTTTGTTAAAATTTTAAATTCCTTCCACTAATTTGTAGTTCCAAACTGTGTTAAGAATTCTACCTGTGATGTAGCTCTACTAATGCAGATGTGGGTCTATGTAATTAAATGGCTATAACACTTGTGTGGATGTTTTGATGAATGACTCTAGAATCCGATTGAATCTAAGACAGAAGAATATTGTGAGTAATATTTTGCCTTATCAGGTGTCTTAGTAGCTATGATACCAACCAAGAACATTGCCTCATGCAGCATACTGGTATAATATTGATAGACCTAGATGCATCAGAATAGGGACTTACTGCAACAGGAATGATAGCTATCCAAAAATAAAGATTAGACCCTGCAAGTACAAAAAAGCCAATAAATCATGAGTTCAATGAGTTTGAAATATCAAGTATAATCTGATCACTCAACCATCAACTGGTGGGAAACAGGACCATTGTGCAAGTAGCTATCATCAAAGGACTTCATAACTCTGATTGATCCATGTCTGTGATTAGCTAATTACACACAAACCAATGATCTTAGAACCTTAAGGGTTTGTTTGGATGGATGAGGATTTGAAATGCATGGACATCAATTATAGGAGAAGACTAAAACATATACAAGGGGTTTGAGATTAAAAATATTGGGGAGTTAAAGGTGCAGAGAAAACTATAGAAAAAATAAGTTGATACAGAAAAGATGGATTTTGGTCGGATCCTTGCAGCTAGAATAGAATTCTTAGCATGATTTCAAATAACTACTTTTATATAGTTATTTCAAATTCAGCATGATAAAGCTATTTAATTAATTCTTGAAATTCATAGGTAAACTATCAAATCCACAGCTATCCAAACGGACCTTAAGAGTCTCATTTTTTTCATAACATGCCATACCTTTCACATTAAAGAGCATAAAAGCCACCACGAATCCCCATAGAAGGCCACTGCAAAAGATTCAAAATTGCATTTAGTTGCTAGTTTCAAAGACATCAAAGACAAGGTATAGACGATAATGAAACTAGTTATAAGATAGTGTCCACACATAGGAAAAAAATATCTTAAGAAATAAGGAAGATAAAAATTAATGAACTTAAAGTGAGGTTTAATAAATTCAATTCGTTCATTTCATGTTCATTAGTAATGGAAGCTAGGTTGAATATTAAAATCTAAAAAATTAATTTCTAGAAAAGGTTCACAAAGATTGTAATTTAGGGAAAATAAAAAAAAATAAAAAAAAAATATCTATAGTTTCACTAAAATTCCACTACAGTCCTCACAATCCCCATTTAAACACAAACCCTGCATTTTCAAGTGAGTTTCAGTGTGGTCCCTCAGTCCAAATCCATTAGCAAAGTGATTGGAAAAAGCACATGAAATGGACATGAAAGGGAAAATGGAGTAATTCACCTTAAACCCACCTAATACAAATAATGAATAAACCTATAAATTAAACTTATTTTCTTTTATGACCACTACTTTCCTCTACCCAAAACCCACCCACACCACTTGTGTACCTGCATGATCATAATCACCACTACCTTTTCTCTCTCTGTAACACAAACCCACCACCATGGGAAATGATATATTTTCATAGGGAAATTGAAATATTGTTTTTCATTACTCTTCCCGTTACCAGTGTATTACGATATATCCCCTAAATTTAAAACCATGGAATCAATATACAAAAGAAAGATGCAGATGGTTCAAGGAATGTGTTAAGAGATTCAGTCTAAGCTTTTGAGAAACAAAATAGAGTTTAATAGTTAATGGAAGAAGATAAGACAGCGAATAAATATGAAAGCCTTCTTGAGTAATCATGATTAAGAAACATGATTGGCAGATATCCACCAATAGAACTTTTTCTTGTTACCAAAAGAATCCCAAGGAACCCCAAAGTATGTCAATAACTTTTTCTCATGTCACATACAGCCTCAAAAGTCAAGTAACAAGAGCGATAAAGGTAAGCACATTTAAACAAAAAAGTAAGCATACTAGATGGTGGCCAAATTGAAGGATTCAAAAGCTGAGCAGTTCTTAATAAGATTGTCACTTACCTAACACCAACTATCTTTTGAAATTCTTCTTCCATAGAGCGGATCATATAACTGTGAAAATCATATTTTGATGTAAGCTTGTGGTTCTGCCATGAATAAGAAAAACAAAAACTGTAAATAGTAAACTAGTAGTTTCAACATGATATTTACTAATGATCAGTATAAATAAGTTCTTACTTTCTCAAAAATCTGACTAGTAGAAGCATAAAATTCGGGCATAAATGAAAACCGGGTTTTAGAATACAGTGAATCTAACTGGTATAAAGACAATGATCTTTTTCCTGTCTGTAGCAAAGATCTAAACTCGAATTCCAAAGATTCAAAATTGCACTTATTACTGTCCTAGACTCCTACCCATAATTAACAAAAAACCCCACACATCATCTCCTACTCCAACTGGTAAGTCACCAATTTTCTCAAAAATTTGAGCTCTTAGAAAATGGGCCCAACAACATATATCAAGTTATCCAACACCCTTGTACATGGAAATGTGGCATATTTAGTGGTATGAGAAAAACATAAGTCCTGCAGTGGTATGAGATTATGTACCGAGATGAAAGCCTTGCGGAGTGTGAGGTAGTCAGCACGAACCACTGTATGCCCAAATTGTCGGAAGAAACAGGTCTGCAATGTAACGAAATCATCAAAGATCTTGATCAAAAGAACAATTTTGTGAAGCCACGTAGTGAGAAAATATAAAGCTGTTACAGAAATGTGAATTTGTCAAGGTTATATATCAGATAAGTAACTGACTGTTAAAGATACACCACTAGGCAGTGGGATCAACAAAGTTTTACAAATACGTGAGAGAAAACCAGGAATAGCAATACACCTTCCTCACAACCTCCTTACAATTTGGTTATATCACTGTATATCAAAGGAAGCAAACTCTTGTTTCAAAAACTCTTCTTTGCTTTCCTTTTCCATATTCAAACCATTAGGTTCTTGAAAATTCTTAGCAACCTCTCTAAAACCTCCATATACAATTTATGAGCTTTGCTGTCAAGCTAAACCAGAGTTGGTAATTGGACATATTTAACAAGTTTGCTAAACTGAAACCAAAAAATTGAGCTATTATTCAGCTTTAGAATCCTTTCCAACCAAAATACGGGAAGAAGAAAGTTTCTATAATTCTTTTAGTTGCTTTAATAGGTGCAATCATTGTAGCTCGTCAATAATAAATCTTTAGAATAGAACTAGGAATCCAAATCAAACTTTTTTCTGGATTATCATATTCATTTCTCTTCTATTCTATTTGAATTCATTTCCAAAATAGAAAAAATATATATATTTAGTTCAATCTATTACCAATAAATTCTTCAGATCCATACTTGTTATATTTTACTTAAATTGGTTGAATTGTTGTTCATATTGAAATAAATTGAGATTGCTAAGGAGTTGATTAATGATGCTTTAACATGTGTACTTGTTTTGAGTGCCTATTTATTTTCTATCAGTATTTACTTTGTTTTAAACACTATGTATGTATTATATAAATAATCATATATTCTATATAATAAAGTGAATCTCATGATTCAAAATTCAGTATTTTAACAAAACAATTCATGATTCGATTTGCATTTTGATAACAATGGCAACGAGTATGTAAGTTACGTACTAGAAAATTTGAAGTAAACTGGTAAGAAGAATGCAGAAAAAGAAATCAAAATTTGTTTAAAATGATACAAACAAGAACAAATAATCACTAGAAGCTTTCCTTTTGCACTTCCTCAAAAACAATCAAATAAAACAGATAATACATATGAACAACTACCTCAGTTAAATATCAAAATAAAGGAAGCAACAAAGCTTCTAATACAAATGCAGCAGAATGATAGTTGTTTACTTACCACCCAGATAAGAAATCTATTCTTGACCAATGGATTTGATGTATGAAACTCAACAAAGGTTGATTGCCTTCGTATCATATCCTCTCTTGTGATTTCTATCAGAGACACAAGATTATTTATTAACATGTCTTTGTCTCAACGAAATAATTAGTTTGTCTACATAAAAGCAGAGGATCATATAAATTTAAAGGCATGAATTGGGTCAGCATTGTTTCTTACATTCACACGACCATAATAGACTACTACAACCTCAAAAAAAGAAAATTCAACGTCTATTCTAAATCACATGAAGATTTAAAAGAAAAAGAGAAAAGTATCTATAAATTATGAGCAGAGTACAACAAATTGGGATGAAAATCAGTCCATCCAAAGTTAAATTCAAAATGGTTCCAACATATCAATAATGTCTTCCTCCTTCTGCTGGGCGACATAGAAAGCAATACAAAGGCTCTACCAATAGTTAGTTCCTTTAATATCTTTTGGCTTTGGAAGAATGGAAAAGGAGAGATTTTCAACAAATTTATCCCCAATTTTTGTGTAGAAAAGGACAGTTTTAGATTGTGAGGAGGTATATCAGTGGATGGAGAAAATGTACGAGGTATATGCAGGATTGGTAAAATAAATGAGGCAAGGATCTAAAGACAAAATAAAAGCTGGTGCTTTAGCTGTATACCAGGAGCTGGGAGGAAAGATCAAGTGATAGAACTCAGCTGGGAAAGCAGATAGAACACACAGGAGATAAATTATTATCAGATAAGATCAAAATGGTAGAAGAAGATATATAGAATTTAGATGAAGCCACAATTGATCAGGTCAATAAGATAGCTTATTGTACTAGAAGCAAATGAAAAGAGATACATTGGTCAACATTATGCGAGTAGGTAAGAGAATTTCTCTAAGCAGCTAAATGATGACATGACACCATATGTTATCTAAATTGTTGTGGATGAACATAAAAAAGCCTACTAAGTTTGTGATGGAGCCCGGCAGCATGTGTACACAAAATTCGATGTACTAAAAAAATTCTACTATTGCTTTCTTCCAGATGGACACATTAACAGTATGATTCCCTAGACGGAGGATAATTGTAGTTTTTTCAGCCCTAACTAAGCATTTAGTGATTTTGGTTCTTTTTTTACCCTTCCCAGACCTAGCAACGGCGGGAGTCTCGTGCACTAGGCTGCCAATTTTTTCTCTTTTTCTTTCCTTTACTTTTTTTCCTTTGGGTTGTGAGAAATAGAATGTTGATGACTGAAAAATGGCCAATGGAAGCATTTCCAAAAATTACTATAGCAGCATCATCTATGCCTTTATCTACAGTAAGAGAGCTCCTTATTGTCCTTTGGTGGCCTTCAGAGAATCAGAGTATGGCTCCAAAAGTCTTCCCCAAGTGGTGGAAGAATAATATGCCAACAGCATCTAAACTCCCAACTCCCTATTGATCTTTCCTAGGCAATTTTAAAACATTTGTCATCAAACCATGACATAATTTTTGAAAGAATTGCACTGTGAAGTGTATTTTATAGATAATCTAATTCATACTCAACATTTTTGCTAACGGTGGTAACAAAAATTTGGAAATAAAACAAAAGCTTGGAGTTCTGAATTAGGACTAGTTTGCCTCTTAGGCTGTTGTGTTCTAACCTTAACTATTACCTTTATTTTCACTTTGATACCTCATATGCTTCTCTTTAGGCATTTTTTTTTTCTCCTTGAGAGATCTCCACTCCTTTTTCCCACTCTCTTCTCTTTCCAATTTAGAAATTTATCTCTAGGTAAAAATTAGAGCATATAAAAAATGTGAACTATACCACCAGTCACCCAGGGCTTGATAAATATTAGGGTCTGGAAAACACTAACAATCATGTGATCAAGCACCAGTTTAGAGCTTACCAACTAATGAATCATGCCGATCCATATGAGCCTGATCCTCCCATGCCCTCCAACTGTGAATCTGACCACATTAATACAATGACAACCAGTAAGCAGAAAATAAAAATAACACAAGTGTGTAAGTTTCATTTAAATTGAAGTACAATTGTGGAAGCTTTGTCCTTTGTAAATTTCACTATAACAACTGGAAAAAATATTCATCTCCTTAAAAGGCAATATGACATGGCATGCGTTAGACTTGATTAGAATAAACTGAGCAGCAATTATTCACTTTAATTTCACATACAAGGCCAGATGGTAAGTTCAAAGGATTTATATGATGCAGGTTAATCGCTACATAAAATAAAAATAAAAATAAAAATAAAAATAAATGCAATGTCCTAGTAGAGTATGTATAGTGTACTCTTAAATGTCAATACATACAAACATAACCTCAAAGCAGAAGAAGAAGAACAAGAAACTACTAATCCACATGGAGTTTTCTGCAATTGACTGCAGTCAAACCATTCCAAATGCACAAGGACCATCAAACACTCCTTACGTGGTGTGTTATACAGTTGGTATCGGTAGTATTCCTTTTCCTTGTTCTTTTTGGGTGGGGAACTATTAGCTTGTCCTACAAAAGTAAACATTAATCGATGGCCTACAGTAATCAATTGTATCATTGACTAACTACAAAATATTTACTCCAGACCATTCTGTTTACACTTCATATATTGTTCATATCCCACTAACAGCTTAGAGTTAATTGCAAATCAATTGTATTATCTCGAGTTCATTCACATCATTGATCCAGGGCAACAGCTCCTTTGGAACTAGTAAGACGCGACATAGATTGGCAGTACGGAGACAACAAAGCCACATATAAATTTTCCTAATTGTCTCTGGAGGTCTTTCTACCAACTGGACAAGAAAATCAAACAAGAAGAAATCATGCAAGCATCTCACTTCAGCAACTGCAACTGCAATAAAGAAAGTAACCTTCACGATTGCCAGCAGCATTGTTAAGCAGCTGTAAGATACATGTGTCACTGCCATGACAAAGATGAAGCGGTGCAATTGCTCAAGACCTTGATATGAAACAAATGGTTCATGACCCTGTGCAATAAAAAAATTCCATATAGCCCAGATCAGTCCAGATACAAATAGAAATGTTCAGATCAAGGAAAAAAATAAAGGGACTACTTAAAAATCAAAAAGAATGAAACCAAAATGGAATTATTGGTATATTTTATTCAAAATATGAAGGAAAAAAAAAAAAAAAGAACCATGCCAAACTAAACTTTGCTCATAGAATGAGCCGGACAATATTTTTCATAGAAATATGAGATGGAAAGAAAAAAAAAACATATATAATCTCATGATTTTATACGGATAAGAAACATGCCTCTTTGCAGGTATTCTGATTTAATTTGTTCAACAATCTCCTAAATGAGTGAGGATGAGCAAAAGCCATCAAAAGTTTACGGCCCTGGGAAGCATTACTTTCAATTTCCTGATCAACCTCAGACTTGCTGCAAGGAGCAAACACACTATCATAGAACTTTGACGGGACGCAGATATTGGATATAATGCTTGACGTAGCCGTGAGAAGGAGAGATATGAAGCCTAGTAACATCAATTCTGAAGATAGAAATCCAGTAAGTGCAGCTTCAAGATGACAATTACCAAAAAAGTACGCATAAAAAAACATAAATTTTGTGAGGATTAACATAGAAATTAATGCCAAATACCTTCTTTCATTTTCTCTACTGCTTGAAGCAAAGGCTTTCTATTGGTTTTCCGCAACCACTGGAATGAAAGAAGGAACATAAGCTCATCAGAACAAGCTCCAAAAGTGATTCATCTTCATAAGTTTATTGATACTACAGTGAACATATTGAACTAATTTCGCAATGAATACAAAAAAAGGCAAGAAAATACGCTGAAAGGGAAATGGTACATGTAGATTAAAACCAATCACATGAAAATCCAAGTTCATCATCATCACAAAAAAAAATCCAATCCTGAAGTCATCATCATCGAAAAAATTACACACAAACAACAACTCAACAATGCTCATCCTCTAATTACTTGCGATTGGCAGCAACAAATGGGTCTTCTTTGTTTGGTAAATTTGCATAAAAATCAAAGATTCAGAGCTAAGATGATAGAAAATAAGAAATGCCGAATTTCGACTTACATTACTTAGGCGGTGAATGGATCGCTCCACGACCAAGGAAACAGCAACAAAGACTGTCAAGACAGAAGCCACAGACCATGTTGGTGTTAACGCCAAAGACCGCATTTCTGCTCCATTTTCTGCCATTTCTCCAGATAATTTTCTTCTTACAAACTGTACACTCTAAATTCAATTGCTTCCTCAAATTCCCTGACTTTTAACTAATCTTCGGAGATTCCAAGTATGTGCTTTAGAACAAATTTCAGTTCCCATATTTCAGGGGGAAAAAAAAATCTAAAACTTAACCTAATGATGCTCAACTGTGATCTGTACTCTTCTTTCACTCTTCTAATCTGCAACTTTCACTAGGATTTAATGGGTTTCCCCAATTGAAAACCCTAACTCAGTGCAATTTCAGAATCGACATTGACTAGGTGTTTCTCTGTAGTGAAGCTGTGATACTCTGCTCTTCTTCTCTATTCTGTAAACAGCTCTCTCTCTCTCTCTCTCTCTCTCTCTCTCTATATGTACCTACTTCTTGTGGTTTTATTACATTTTGAGGAACAATGAGAGAAGGCTAGTGACTGGACGTACCAGATTCATTCTCTCCAAATGTCCAATCTACTTGACCAACCACAGCTGATTCTTCAACGATTTCAATTGGTGTGCACTACCAACTCTCTCTCTCTCTCTCTCTCTCTCTCTCTCGACACTCAAATCGAAAAAGGAGTCAAATTTACACGTATGGGTTCAACAACTGCGTCTCTCAGCAATTTCCAGGACTTTCGGTTCTTTTCTTCTTTAAATTACTCCTCAGAAAAATAAAGCTCTCTCTCTCTCTCTCTCTAATTGGCGGAATCGATTGTTCTTGTCATAACATAACAATGGACCTCCACCAGAAGTGATCTGTATCTCTCTCTCTCTCTCCCTCCCTCTCTCCTCACTCTGCTGCCGAGGGGGAGAGGGGGGAGAGAGAGTAATTTAATGGAGGTTGGTAGTTTCGAAATAAAATGTAGAGACAACGGAAACGGCGTCGCATGTTCGGGGGTGCCTACCACGAAACTACTTTTCTTTTCATTCTTTTCTTGGGGACTGAAAACGACGACGTTCTTCCTTCTCTACCGTTACAATTTTCTACTACACTACAAAAGCCTATTCTGACACGTAAGTTAAAAGACGACGTTTTAGTTTTTTTAATTTTTTATAAAAAAATATATCAAAAAATAAATAGGTGATGTGAATCAAAATAAATAAATAAATAATTAACTTTTCAAAATAGGTCACACGTAAGCTCATAAAAATGCTTATAACAACAATTTGTAGCATTGCCTACTTGTAATGGATAATAAAAATAATAATAATGTGGATTATTAAATAATTAATTCAGAATATTAAGATTTTTTCATTTAAGCAACGAAACAAAATCACAAAAAAAAAAAAAAATAGTCTAAGGTCTCTCTCTCATTTTTAATAATAGAAGAGATCTACAATATTATTTTATAATGTCTAAGGTCCCTCAATCCCCAACACCCATATAAATTTGATTCCCTTAAATCAAACTACCTCTCCCTCTCTTCTTTTCTCTTTGCTCTTCTTTATCCGACGAACTCTACCTCCATCATCGGAGTTCATCGTCGTCATTTGTACTGGACCGGACCGGATACAGTAATCAAGTATATGACAGATGGTATGCTTCTGAGAGAGATTTTGATTGATGAGAATTTATCTCAGTATTCAGTTATAATGCTTGATGAAGCTCATGAGAGGACAATCCACATTGATGTCCTTTTTGGATTGTTGAAGCAGCTTGTAAAGAGGAGACTTGACCTTCGATTGATTGTCACATCTGTCACATTAGATGTAGAGAAATTTTCAAGTTATTCCTTTAACTGCAGTATCTTTACAATTCTTGGAAGAACTTATCCGATGGAGATACTCTACACCAAATAGCCAGAAAGTGACTACCTAGATATATCTCTAATCACTATTATAGAGATCCACTTAACAGAACCTGAGTGTGATATCCTCCTCTTCTTGACTGGTTAAGAGGAGATTGCTCTCTCTCTCTCTCTCTCACAACTCATATACATATAAACATCCACGTATATAGTATGAAGTTAAACTGTTTGACAAAATGCTTCTTAGAACTCCAAAACACATAACTGTGAGATTTGGTTTGACAAAACTCTTTTTAGAACTGTAAAACATATAGCTATGAGCTTTGAAGCTAACTTGTTTGATAAAATGTTTCTTAGAAAAATAATCATAGAGAAAAACAATTACAATTTTCTCTAGTTTGTTCAAAACATAGACAAAATTATGATTTTTTTTTTGTTTCTAAATAGCCCAAATTTCTCTGGTTTGGTTTGATTTTGAATGACCAATAATAAAGAAGTTTAGATAACCAAGAAATATTTCCTGGTATGTAACTAGAGAAATTCTTTGATTTTGAATGACCAATAATGGCTATGAGAAATTTGGAGAATCAGAAACTTCTTCTGCAACCATATATCTAAAGAAAAAAATATTAGAGAGTGAGAGAGAGTTTAGGCTAAGATGAAACTTGAACTTACTTTGTCCAGAGAAATTAGAGTGGGAAATCCAAAGAAATTTGGCGAGAATTTCTCTAGACAGTGGGAAGTCCAGATAAATTTGAAAAGAAGTCCAGAGAAATTTGGAAAAAAGTCCAGAAAAATTTGGAAAGAATTTCTCTGGACAATGGAAAGTCCAGAGAAATTTGAAGAGAAGTCCAGAGAAATTTAAGTCCAGAGAAATTTGGAGAGAATTTCTCTGGAGATTGAAATTTCTCTGGATCAATGTGTGAGAGACCTTAGACATTATGAAAATATTTGATGTCCTTTATGCTATAAACTTTTAATAACATGGACCTTAAAAAAAAATCCCCAAAAAAAAAAAACTAACTGATAATATATAACATAATTTTTCTTCCTAATTATTGTATGACACATTATTTAGTTTTAAAATAATTGATTAGCCCTGAAATTTTTATCAGATTTTTAATACATTCTAGATTTTTAATATTTCAGTGAAATTAACAATAAATTCAAGAGTTCAAGTGCGACATATATATATATATATATATGTATATAAAATGTTCATAAATTTTTAATTAATTTTTTATTTGTTACGATGAAAAATATATATATTAGAGACCGTAACATAGGGAAGAAAATTCTAACATTTAGCAAAGCGTTTAGATCCAATGTTAAAAGTAGATATGAATTTTGGCCAACTAAACTTAGGTCTCAATTATGTCATACCTAAAACCTTACCAAAAAAAGTATTTACATCTTAATTATGTCATGTATAAGTGATAAAAGCATCGAGGTTTATTGGTGGAGTTGAATTTCGCTAACATGAAATCCTTTATCTCCAAATTTTTTATTTCACTCAATACATATCTAGTTGTACAATTATATTTTGAAATTACTTATTTAAGATTCCCATCACATTATCAAAAATGCATTAAATACAGAAAACATATAAATGTCAGGTAGATAACATCCCTTGACGAAGTTCACTACAATCAATTCAAATAAGAAATTGGTTGCTTTCATGCAGTTGTCACAATTGAATAAAATTAAAATATGCTACAAGCACAACAGTTATTTATAGGATGGATCGTAGACAAGATACAAGATACTAATATTGTGTTTGGTTAGGATATTTGAGAAGGAATTTGGAAAGAAAAATGAAAAAGGTAGGTGAAATGTGAATAAAATATACCTATATTTCACCTAGTTTCACACACATTTTCCCATTCCTTTTCCAAATCTCTCTCCAAAATCCCCAACCAAACATAGTGTAAATAAAATTGAGATTAGAAAAGGAAAAGAAATTATGAATGACTTCTGTGCAAATAATTTACTCGACAGAATTTTGTGTGAGACAACAAAGCAACCGAAAAAACTGTCTTGGCTGTCAGGTTTGTTTCCATATTTTAGATTTGTACGCTTTGCTTGCAGAAAATGTGCATGGCCTGCATGCAACTGAAAAACAATAATTTAAATCAATGCAAGTTAGCCTATTTGTGATTGATTTTTGCCTTACTTGTTGGCTTATTTTTTCTACAAAAGAAAATATTATAAATGTGAGCGTGTCAGTAAGGATTGAAAAATCCTTACAGATTAAATTCAAGCCAATTATTAAGCGATTGCGTTGACGGGTTTTTTTGCCTCAACAAAGAGGACTTCAAAATTGTCAAGTATAGAGAAAAGAAAAATTAAAAGAAGAATGAGGGAGACGAAAAAAGATGATTGAGTAAACAATCAAAGTAATAATTACTTACCTCTACTCCTATGTTTTGAACAGGGCCGGCCCTGAGTTGGTCGAGGCCTAAGGCGAATTTTGAAAATGGGGGCCCTTTTATATTGAAAAAAATTCATGAATAAAACGATAAGTTACAATTTTTTTATTTGTTTGTAACCATAAAAAAATTTACTTACACATATAATCATTAAAATTATAAATAAAACAATTTAATAAAATAAAATTAGAACAAAAAATTAGGAAAAAATTATTCAATTAAAATTGATAAAGACCTAGGTAAAAAAATTTGAGCAAAATTATTTATTCCACTAAAATCTAATAGATAAAGAAGGCAAAAATAAAAAATAAAAAAATAGGGCCCATATATTGTATGTATTATTTTTCTTGAGACCAAACACTTTTTTTTTAATATATATTTTCATTTTAATAAATATGGACCAAACTACACTTATAAATAAGTATGGAGTAAATCATACATGGACCCAAAAAAATATTTTGGGGCCCTTTAAATTGATCCTAAAACCAAAAAAAAAAAAAACATTGAGCCTATAATATTTTACCAAATTTAGGGGCCCTATTTTTGGGCCAAATTTAGGGGTCCTATGTTATATATGTTTTACCAAATTTAGGGGCCCTATTGTTTTTTTTTTATTTATTTATTTATATATTTTCATTTTAATAAATATGGGCCAAACACATTTATAAATAAATATGGGCTAAATTATACATGGACCCAATAAAACATTTGGGGCCCTTTAAATTGATCTTAAAATCAAAAAAAAAAAAGAGTTGAACCTATAACAATTTTTTAAATTTGGAGGCCCTATTTTTGAGCTAAAATATGAGGCCTAAGGCACAAGTCTTACCTGCCTTAGGGCAGGGCCGGCCCTGGTTTTGAAAATGAAGTGCATAAAATGCTTCGAAAAGAAAGTGCTGAAAATAAATATTTCGAAGTATAAATCTATGTTAAACTACTCCTAAGATAAGGAAAATGACAAGAAATATTGAAATCAATTGTCTTTGATTTGAATTCTAGATCTATTACAATGTAGCTATGAATGGCTATTTATAGGCAAATATTTGTAGGAAAAAACTTCCAGCAATAACTACCCAGTAACCACCTAAAACTACCCACTCTTCCATCTTCATCCCATAATGCCAAATATCCCTCAATGTCTTCATAACTTCCTTCAACCTCCAATTCATGCTCCATGTTCTCCACTTTATTCTATATCATCTTTTCACATTTCATAACTTCTCATAACCTCCAAATGAGTAGCAGGATGCCACATGTCCTGCAATTATATAAATAATAAATAATAGTAAAAATTACAGATTTATGGTGCCAACAGTAGTAATATAATAATAATAATAAAAATAATAGTAGTAAAGTAACTATAGCAAATGTGTCATTGACAGGTATGCAAATCAGTTCCCCCGTGGATCTGGCATGTGGAAGTGATAAGCCAGCAAGCTCCACCTGACAAAGGAGGAGTTTTTTCACTTAATAAAAACAATCTACCAAAACACAAGATTAAATTTAAATAATAAAAAAAGTATTTGGCTGATTGTGCGTAGATTGTTTATTATTATAAAAATATATATTGATCCGATAATCATAAATACATAATTTATCATATTTGTTTTTAAAAAAAATAAATTGCGTATTTGGGATCTTGAAATGTATCAAGAAAAAAAAATAGAATGTAATAATATCAATCCATATCTACACAAGAAAAAATAAATCAAAAAGTTGCCTAATGCTTCAAATACTGATAGAGAGTGAAAAAATTAAAAAAAATTACATAATATTTTACTTGTCATAACTTGCATATAATACACCATTTTAAAGATATATTCTATAATGACCCATAAATATAAGGTGGGTGAGTCAATCAATCCCACTTCAAACATTCTATGACCCACATGCCATGGACGTGATATATAACAAATTTTCGTACCTAAGACCATACTATGCCATGCAACAATTCTTGTACTTTCTTCCAAAACAAGTTTCAATCTATATATATAAATAAATATTAGGATTTTTATTTTTTTCCAACAAAATACAAGTTAAAAGTTGGCCATCACCATTTATGACCAACATTGATCAGCAATGAAAAATTGTACCAGAAGTAGTAGGCTGGTGAAGTACAATTATGTGGGTTTGGCAGTTGGGATGCCTAACTAGATTCCCATGCAACAACTTTACTGCAATTGGAGTGGTTTCACCCCCCAATTTCTTTAAAGCTGCTTGGCAATACATTCTTCAACATTTGGTTCATTTCATTTCCCATATTATTAGTTGAGAGAACACTAAAGCTACAGCAAATTGCACAGGTCACCAAACGTTTCAATTAGTTTCCTTTCTAAGCCAATTACTCCAACACATAAAAATTGCCTCAGTTTTTTTTAAGTAGAATAAGTAGAGCATTGCCAAAAGAGAACCAAAATAAGGAGGTGGATTTGTTATCAATCAGCCTAAAGGTCCCACAGCGCCCACTGTTAGGCCTGCTTAGCAAGGTTTAAATCCGGAACAAGCTCACACCACAGCCAAGCAGGGCTTAATGAGGATTAGGCTGGACTTAGGCTAGAGTTTAAAGCTCGTGAGCAAACATCATGTCTACCCGCAAACCTGGCAAAAAAATTATTATGGAAAAATAGGTAAAATGAGGGGACAAAAAACCAAAAACACGTAGGTTGAAATCTTGGTCCAATTGGGTTAAGTCTGTGGGCTAGTCCGTTGACCCGTGAGAGGAAGCCCATTGGCTTACCTGCAAGCCTATCAGGGCCAAGTCTGTTGGGTAGGACTTGGTCCTAAAGTTTTGGCCTATGTCCCGGCAAAAAAATCCACTGGGATTAGCTTGCAGGCAACTTGAATACCATTTCACGGGTCAGCTCAGCCTGATGCCAACAAGAAGAAAACTTACTGATCCAAAAGCCCAACAAAATTAAAACCTCCCTGTTCATAGGCACCCACAAAACAATTTTTTGTACAGGGACCAAGCAAGAAAAACAAACTTCATTATTATTATCCATAGAATTCCAAGATGAAAATCCATCTTATCAAAAGCCCCCAAATGCATTTAAAATGAATACAGAAAAAATTAGCCAAATCACAGTAGTATACACACATATGAGAGGACAGACCATGTGCGAAGGAAGATTCTGGGAGAACACACCCCATGTGGAATGAAAGAGCCATTAAGCTTATATGGATATAATCCCTCACAAACATACACGTAATATTCAGTCAACAGTTTCAAACTGCAAGAAATGTAGCCAAGAATTTGTAAGAAAACAAAATATATGTCCTTGGAAATCTCAGCTTACCATTCATCCACGCAAGCTCTACACCATTCTTCTCAGCTGGGCCTACAATGTGCTCTGTTCTCTATTATTGACAAAAAATTATTGAATAAACACAAAAGAGATGATGATTTAAACACTGCACCAAAAATTGCTACCTGACCACGAATTAGATTCATCACTTTTAGTCAGGCATCAACGTCAGTCTCTTTCACCTGAACGATGTGTCCTGTATCTTACAAGCATTCATTCAATGCACATGGGACTACATTAAGGCATTGATGCCCACTGCATGTAAAATACCAATCTATCTGTTTCATAACCAAAGAGCCCAGGAAACTCAATCAATCACCCAGGGACTGTAACTGTGCAGTAACAAAAGAAACTGCAAAAATGAACTACCCATGCAATATTGTATAGTCGCATAAAAATGAACTACCCATTAGCAAATGGAACTTTGCAAGTAACAAGGAGAGATCCATAATCGGTAGCATAATCTAAGCATAACGATGCATACAAAGATTGAGCCACTAAAAGCAGCATTCAGTCTTCAAACAACTAACAAGAATATGCCATGCTACAAAATTGAAATAGTATATAGAAACAACAGACCATTCTTTTGGTTGAGGGTAACTAAGAAAACTCTCTCTCTCTCTCTCTCTCTCTCTCTCTCTCTCTGTGTAAAGTGTACACTAGAAACAAGAATCTATGCCTCGGTGGCTGGAACCTGGTCAGGCATCTCACCCATTAATTCATTCTCGCTAAAAAGATCCTCCTGAATGGGTACATCTTTTAGCTGCTGGGTTGATATAACGTTTGCAATGGCTCTTCTAGCTGCCGATGCCTGATCATCATCAACCACCTTGTCGTCTTCTACAACAGATTCTTTGGGTTCCACAGATAAGTCATCCCCTTCCCGTGGGGGAGGAACAAAGAAGGGTATCTTACCCCTCTGCCAATCATGGAGGACCATCTTTGCTGCAGTCATCAAGTCAGGTTCACCACCCTGTACACGAACCCATCAAATTTAGCATATATTCAGGATCTCCGTTGAGAAATGTATAATTTGACTGCTCAAAACAAATGTGATCATTATGGAAACTCTGAAACGAAACAAAGCTACTTGTGAACTGCTTGTTTGGTTTGGCTGGGTCAAAATTCAGTTGAGCTAAGATCAAGCTTAATTTTGAAGCTTCTGTCGGTGTAACAAACTGAGCTCAAACACATAGGGCTCAGCTCAAAGGTTTGCGAACACTGGTGCAATCTTTGCATCCTAAAACTGCTTGCACATGAAGAAAACCACCTAAGTTGGTTTCAGAACAAGTGAGTTGAAATGCACCAAGCTCATAATACTCAACAAGACATCAAACCAAAGGTCAACCTAATCAGGACCAAGCTTGGAGCAGTTCAATACTTGCATGGTTTTAGCAATCAAATGTATATGACACAAGTGATTATATTCTAACAGCCAATTAAATTAGAATAATAATATTTCAAACATTTTAACAAACGACACTGAATTTTTATTTTTTTTAATTTTAAAAACATTGAACACTGGACTAAAGTTGTTGTGAACCTGATCATGTCTTGGATGCGTGGGATTAACAGTTTCACTATATCTTAAAAAAGAACAAAGATGAGGGAACCTTTAAATTTGTTTCAACCCCAAACCTTGTTGAGTTCGCAAATTGCAAGACTTCAAAGAATTTTTCCAGCAACTGTAATATATATCAAGCAAACATAATACGAACTTACCCTTAACAGTTTGCCTGTTAATTTACATAGCTGAACAAGAAAGTCATTGTCATCCTCCCTGAAAATAAAATATTGTTATCTAATTATAATCCACATATGTATCACTCAAATATCGTTATCGTGTCATAAAATAGATGATGAAACAACCAAGTGGTGAAAAATAATGTAAACAGGCTGTGCAAGCTTGGAGCTCCCTGGTTTCATGTTCACTAACAAGAAAATAAACCAACGCATATGGGAAACCCTTTTCTAACAGTTACTCTCAGTCAAACTACACAAAATAATTGAACGCAAGATGTGAAGATGAACCAGACAATTTTATGCTCACTTTGGTTTTGGTTTACCTATCATTTAGATTCATATCTTTTATTTTTAATTATACACGAAAAAATAGTGGGATCCTATTGAAATGCAATGTATTTTTAGGTATGCTTATAACTAGAGAAGCAACATTTAGAATAGAAGGAATCAAATGTATAAGAAGTAACCAACAGACCAAAAATTGGGATAAACCATAACACTCTTTTAAGTCGTTTTTTTAAAAATAAAAAATCAAACATATATACATGTAAATCAACATATATAAAAAAATATATGAACAGCTGTAGCCCAAAATAAATAAATAGCTTACCACTCCTTTATCTTATATGCCCTTTCCAGGTGCTCCCTTTTCACACGTTTCAAAACTTCTCCAATGTGTTCAGAAGCGTCATGCAAATTTGTGACACGTACCTGGTGACAAAGGCCAATTAGTACACCATGCTAAATAAGTGACAAGTATACCAGATTAGCACAAAAGAAATACTAATGAAAGGTCATATAGCAAATAGGCAAGCTAGGAGTTAAGTAGGTCCAAAATCACAATCTCTTCAACCACGAACAGCAGAGTACAATTGCATGGCACAACCCAAAAACTCAATTGTAAGGCAAAAGGGCTCATGTAAAAACACACGATTGCTAAGATCTGTTACTAGTCTTATTACAAAGTAATTTGTTCTAAGGCATTAAGAAAGTAATTTTGTTTCTCATAATTATTTAAGCATGTAAAAGTTACAACCATTGTTCACACACTAGATGGCGATCCATCAATTTCATACAATTTATCACAACAAAAAAAAAAATCATGCGGCTACCTCAATGTCAACCTCGACCTATGGTCCCCAGGACACCTGCATATATTGAGTTATAGCTTGATATAGATGTCTCACAACACACAAATGGAGAACCCTTTCCAATTTGTACAGGTTTTCAAAAAAGAGGTGGAGAAGAACTTTGTAATAAAATTTTCACTCTGCTGTAGCAGTACAAAAAGTAAGAAAAAAATAAACACAGTTGGATTTAAAACTAGATTGACCACATAGAAACAAAATAAAAGGACTCTGGTAGTTGTATCAATAAATAAAACAAAGGGAAATTAATAAAATAGAAAAAAAAAAAAACTTTAGAACATAAGAGCTATGCAATACAAAAACGATAAATGAGCAAAAGAAAAGAAACGGAAAAAGGGTAATTTAATAAGCATACATAAGCAAAAAGGATACATGAGCATTGTAATTTAATGTACAATAGTAATAACTAAAATAGAGCAGAATGTAATTAAACAAAAAATTCAAAAAGAAGAGAATACAAGAAATAAATAGCACATGGGCCATTTGATTAAATGGAGAAAAGAAAAGGGAAAGTAGTCAAGTGATCGGAGAGTGGACTGGGTTAGAGGAGAATATGGAAATGCTTAAATAGCATCCATGTTCCTTCAACTCTCTAGTTTTTTCAAATTGCAGCAAGTGGTTTAGAGAAGAATATGGAGATGCTTAAATTGCATCCATGTTCCTCCAACTCTAGTTTTCCCAAATTGCAGTAATGTCTGAATGTTGGTTTGCCTTAGTTTTTCTTAACCTATATCACACAATATGAATTATTTTTTAAGAGTTTGGGCCTATTGCAAAATGAGTTTAGGCCACAAACATTTTAAAAAGTGTACTAAAAGAATTGGATCAGAAAGGACTGGGATCCAATTCGGGATTCTGGAATCTAGTAAGATCCAGCCACCAAAATCATAAGCATATTGTAGACAGATAAACTACTCTTTTTCACCTCCAAAGGATTTTTTTACATGATAGTTAATTCTTCCAAAATGGATTGTAAGATCAAGATTGGGAGTTTAACAACCATGTATGAAACTGACAAGATAAAGCGTGCCATAAAATGACTAGTGATAAATATATTACAAATATGCAGCCAAAACCAATAATGACATACCACACCCTTCAATACAATATCCGTTTCTGTGTCTCTGTTTTGGTAAACAACTCCAGGGCAGTCAATCAAGAAGATCCTCTTTGTAAGTGTTATGTATTGCCACACTTTAGTCTCTCCGGGAATAGGAGCAACCTTGCAGACCTTTTTAAAAAGAAAGGAAACAAATATGAGGCAATTGGAACCACCTAACCACCTTGAATTATCTTCAAATAAACTGAATCCTTTAAAAAATTGCATCCCATATTGACCTGCTTGAGCAAGCAATGCTTTCTAACAAAAGAAATCCAGTAAACTGTAAGGTTCAAATCCTTAATCATGATATCAAGATCAAAAGTTTTCAAGTGGTAAAGAAAGCAGTGCCAAGAGGGGTCCATCCTTATAAATACCCAAAAAACAAAAGAGTCCATCCTCATGAGACAAAGTTCCAAACAGGCTACTTAATAACAATTTGGAAAATGCTAAATCTAACGTAGAAGCATCCAATCAAGTACACTCTGTAAACAAGCATGCCTTACAAGTTACAGCACTCTACCAATTTGTTCATCTGCAAGCACGCAATTATGCCTACTGTTTATGGGTACAGATCATGAAACGCAAGATGCCAAAGAAGAAGAAAACATTTACATAAACATTAACAGAAATCTGAATTACAAAACTACTCTCATGAAACCTACCAAAAATACTTAGTACCTGTCACTTTTGCTCTTAATCACTGGAAGATGCAATATGAATATTTCAACAAAAAGAAAACCCAGGTTCAGAACTTAAAATAACATCATCTCAAGCAGGAAACTACACGTATTCAAAGAAGTGATTATGCAAATTAATGATGCATTAGTGAAGCTGTAAAACAGTATGAAGATTATTTTGGTCCCAAATGTACCAAACTGAAATGCACAGTTCTGTTAAACACTTAACCCTGCTTTTAAACTCCATAATCACATAAAATACCTAAATTACTATTTCTAATTAATCACAACTCATAATACAAAGGGAGAACACAAAGTTTGTCATACAGATACCCTATCAAGTATTCAAATTATTCTGATTCGGATTCAATATTTCCAAATTCAGTGCAAGTCCTAAAACATTAGAGGCGGTAAAGGCGTGAAAAGGGGAAAAAATTACATTTTTTGTACGGAGTGTGTTGATAACTGATGACTTTCCAACATTGGGATACCCCACAAATCCCACAGATATCGCTTGCTTGTCACTTTTTATGCGGGCAAATTGTCTCAAGACTGATAGAAGAGAACCCTAAAAGCACAACAGAAATAAATTCATGCATATTAGTCAAACATTGCACTAAAATTTGACAGGAAAAAAATTGCTTACAGTATAAGCCCTCCACCCCTACCCCCTAATGCAAAAAAAAAAAAAAAATGTAAAGAATTCAAACTTCCCACAGAATTTGAGGTAAAATTACACAATTGTTTTTTGAGTGTGTTTTCTCAATCTTTGCTTATAATAGCAAGAATTCTAGTCACGTATTACCTTTAACTCCGAAACAACAAAGCGACAAAACATTTTATATATCTACATGGTTTAACATTAAAGCAAACTGAATGTTCAAGTGGCTAGTTTGATAATGTTATTTCATTCAGTTTGCACCATGTGGAAAAATGGAATGGCATAACCTTTCAAATCATATATTCTAAAATTGTAAAATGATACATCATTGAGGATTTTTATATTGCTCTCACAGGTGGTCCGGATATTGTGGCAGCAACTCCATTTGTGGCTCTTGGAGATTCTTTTCTTTAATCCCCCTGATAGAGAGGGGACAAGAATGAGAATGCAGATTGGAAACCGCTTTGCCTTGCACTCCTGGCACCCTCAATTAAAGCATACCAAGTTGTCAACGTGCAAAATGGCCCTCCAGGAGGGATATGGTAATATCAATTGGCAGCAAAAACAAATAATTAACACCACTTTTTGAAAGACAAGTCAAAACGTGCAAAGAGTACTACGAATGTTTTAAGTGTTTAAAACATGATCACCATTGGAACAATAAAATTTTATGGGGTCTTAACTCCTAAGGGATCTTTACTTTATGTGTGCATATATATACATTATGTATATAAATTGCTGCCATAGTGAGCATGTATGTGTGTGTGTGTACATACATACATGTGCATTTTATTCAAATCTAATGGAGGTACCTTGCCAAACGACTTATTAATGCTTGCATGGAATGCTAGAGTTGGATACTCCTTGGATAATACTCTAAGCCATCCTTTTGTTGCCCAAGCAGGGACCAGATCACACTGAGATAAGTAGTAAGACTTTCTATGAGAACATCATGGAAAATAAAGAAAAGCAATCTCTAACAATCTCATAGATATTTGAAAAACAAACGACACCAAACCTTGTTTAACAAAAGAATCATGTGCTTATGTTTGCAATGCTCTTTCAAATGCTTCTCCAAATGATAGCATCTAGTACCTTGTGGATCCCTAGCATCCAAAACCTATAACCAGAAACATTAGCCATAACCTAGTAAATTCAAACCAAGGAAATTTGCACACAAAACCTTATAGAAGGCATTACTCATGTTTACAAAAGAAACTATCATGGTGTACATGCCTTTATGGTTTTGTACCAACTTAGCATTAACCAAACAGCCAGAGGAGAATAAAATATTCAGTTTCCTACCACATCATAAAAGTTTTTAATGTGACAAACATAAATTACACAAGATTTTTTTTATAATAAAAAAATTTGTAAATAAATGACAAAATACCAACCTGGACAACAACATCTGACGAGTCTATTACTTTGTAGAGCTCACCCCATATGCGTTTACTTTGACCCTTCTCAAACATTGTATGTCGAACCAGGTCCCTGAACCCATCCCCTTCATTTACTTCTGCAGATGTACCGACACCATATTTCTCTTCAAAGGCATCTATAAAATTGAAAGATGAATTCATTAATTGAGTGAAATGTTGAGTTAAAGAAACACACCAACCACACCACACAGCTATCAAAGAGTGAAGGAGCACCCAAAGATGGAAGCAGTGAAGGAGTACATAGATCAGTACAGATTACAGGCACACGACACAGCTTACTTCTATGTTGTATTCACTTTATGTGCAACATGTTTGAGAAGAACATTGAAACAAAAAGAGAGTAGCAAAACAAGCAATTAAGTTCACTTACCTTGAGAACCATCAGCCTTCCTAGCTAATGACTCATAATCAGATACCATAAGCTTTGGGCGCTTCCTCCTCTTCTTAGGTCCAAAGGCATCCTCAAAAGGTTCTGTATCAAGAAGATGAACTCTGGCTTGCTTGGAAGACACAAAAAGGGGCAAAATTTAGCAAACAAGAAAATGGAACATTCTATACATTCTTTCTCTTGCATGTGCAACTTTTAAATTAATAACAAGAATTCTCATTATCATCATTATTATTAAAAAATGACATGAAATGTAACTGCTTAACATTCAAATATTGATTTCTGCAGTTCTGGTAACCAACCAGTAACTAATAATCTGTCAGTCTAAACAACATGGGTTAACTATTGAGACATCTTAATTGGAGGAGTTTGTGGTTCAAAAGTCTAAGTATGATATTAAAGCGATTTGAGAGACTCCAATCATTTGGCCAGAACACAACCCAAAAAAATTAAGTAATATAATAACAATATTATAAGTATAATTAATAAAAACAAAAAATTATACAACCAATATCTGTGCTTGCAGTAAATACTGCTCGTCAATAAAGTGTGCAACGTAAATGAGTCTATTTTACAGCTAATGAAGGAACTATATAGGATATTAACTGTGAATTACAGTGCATATTCAGCTTCAGAAAAGGTAATGCATACATAGAAACCACAGCCCATTTAACTAGTCCAGCTAAAAGTAAGCAATAACTTGAATAGTGGAACCAATCAGATGGATGTAGAAAACCAATTCAACCAAACTAATTTAATCTGATATATACCCTCATACTGTTAAAATCATCTGACCAGTTGCATTAGATACACCCATTTGATATTAGAGTGGAAATCATCAAAATGGCAAACATAATATGCGGAAAAAATGGCACTAGTGCACTAGAGTGGACTGCTGACTGTCAGGAAACCAAAAAACGTCAAAATGAACTAAGGTCATAGATAATTTCCTCATTTCACTGCAGATCGACACCAGAGCTCCAAATTTGTAAAAACTTCATACCTTCTGATGGTCATTTAAAAGGGACATGGGCAGTTTCTTCTCCTTCAATATGACATTGTAATTACTCGACATTCGGCTCTGGAGCTCTTCGCGAAAAAATTCAAGCTCTTTCTGATTCACAACTCGAGTATTACCTACAAATTGAGATAAAGTAGGCACACAACAAGTGTTAATTCCATTTCTATACGAGGAGTTGAGAGCGTAAACATCTTAGCATACTCTAGAATCTAGAAATTGCTTCTTCTGTTGACATTCCACTGGCTATTCCATGTTTAAAAGATTAGCTAACTTGGAAGAAACCAACTCTGAATCGGTAATTGACCCACATGGGAAGCTCACTTGGATACCCATTGCATTGTTGGATAATCGCCCTTTTAGTATACAACAGCTACTAATGCTCCGTTTTCAATTTCAAAATCAGTTTTCTGATTTTATTTTATTTTTATAAGTATAAATTGGTTTAACAAAAATAAACACCGAAAATATGTTTTTGAAGTTCTAGAAATTATTTTTGCCCTCAAAAAGGTAAAACCATATGAAACCCATGAGCTTTTTCTTTTTTCTTTTTTTGAATTCAATTTTTTCACCAAAATAAGTTATTCCTTCCCCCCCCCCCCCCCCCCATAAAACAAATTCTGAATACCAAAGAGCCAAAACATTTCTGCATCTAGACAACAGCTACTTGAAAATAAATTAAAATTTTGACTTAGTGATTACCAAAATATGAAAAATCTAAAATTTCTGTTTCTTTTGTTCTTCTATAAAAATCTACTTCCATAATGCTATAAATTCATAACTTCTATGCATACAAGCACACATGGCCAATAGAAAACAGCTTCGATTCTTTGTCATCGCACAGTCTTTTAAACATATAAATGGAATCAATTTCAATATATATATATATATGAAGATGAAGGAGAAATAAGAAGTACCAAACCAGCGGCGATCGGGTTGGATACGAGTGGAGGGCAAATCCTTGGACTGAAGCTCGTGCTTGAGAACCTTGCCTTTGCGGTCACGCTTGGGCCTCGAATTGTACATCTTGAGCCGCCGCACCGTGGCGGCGCTGCGGCCGCCTTTGGTTCCATTCGCATCTCTGTTCGCATCCAGCGAGTGTTTTGCTTTCCCGGAGACATTCACTGGTCTCTCTTTCTTCTTCGCCATCTTCGCTTACTCTGCTAAACACACCACGATTGGATACGAGAGTGGCACTACAGGCGCAGAGAGAACAGAAGACGCAAGCGCTGGAAACCTACTAGGGTTTTTTAAGAGAACCGTTTGGGAAGTTGGCTAGTCCTCATTTGACATATTTTTGGTTGAGATAGTTCTTAAAAAAATAAAATAGATTAAAATTTTAATAAAATAAAATATTCTATTTAAATTATAATTATTCTAAAAATTAAAAAAAATAAAAAATTCAATCCAAACGAAATTTTTTAATCTTAAATTAAAATAATTAAAAAAATAAAAAGTCAAAATATCAACCACCTTCACAACTTCAATTGCAAGTAAAGGATTAGATGAATTTTATATTCTTTTCAACATAAAATTCAAATATGGAACCACATTATATAATGACAGTATAAATAAATAATGAAATTGTTTAGAATGGTTTAAATAAATATTTTTTTTTATTTTTTATGAAAAAATATACAGAAAAATAAAGAGATAATATGACTCAAATAAGTGTATTTATCTTAATAGGTGCACTTATTTAGTTTATACCAAATAATAAAATATATCAATGTGTATAATACAAAGTTGATATAAATAATTTGGATAGCCAAAAATTAGTTTTTGTTTTTTTGGCTAAAATCTAAAAAAGATAAAATGGGCTAAAATAAATAATAAGACATCGTTTGGGAATATACTACTTTAGTAATTTTTTAACTTTTTGTCTAAAATATGAGGTAAAAAAAATAATCAATGTGTTTGGTTTCAATTTTTTGGATTCAATTTTTTGAAAATTAAGTTTTTTGTATTTCTGTATTTTTTTATTCTTAACAAATATTTTCAAAATTTTAAGTAATTTTTTACTTTTTTAGATGCATCTTACTTAAATATATCTAAAAAGTAAAATATTTGTGAAAAAAATATTTTAAAAGATGAATAAATATACAAAAATACAAAAAATATATTGAATTCTATTTTATATATATTTTTGGTATTTAATGAATTTTCTAAAGTTTTTTTCACAAACATAATACTTTTTAAGTGTATTTTTATGTTAGGTGTATCGAAAAATAAATAAATAAAATTGCTTAGAATATTAAAAAAATTCGGTAAAAATTATTTTTTTAAAAAAAACATAAAACAACAAATTTCAATTTTCTGAAAATTGAATCATGAAAATCCAACCCAAATATGAGGGGCTTTTCCCAAACTAAGCCTCTTTTGCATCTTATTTCCCAAACTAAGCCTAGTTTAGACGAATTTCTCAAACTAAGCTAAAGCGCTATTACAAATCGCGCTTTCACTGTTTGGAGTCCAAAATTTGATGAATAGTGAAAGTGCTATTCGAAATCGCAATTTTAATTAAGAAAACGCTATTTGAAATTGCGCTTTTAACATAAATTTTTTTTCTAAAAAAAACGTGGTTACAAATTTTTTTTTTTCCAAAAAACGCGATTACAAATCGCGCTTCTACTATTCAAATGCAAAATCGCAATTCCAAATGGCGTTTTCAAATCACACCAAACCAACGCACACACTCTGACACACACACCCCCCCACAGAACTCACGCACACTCTGACACACACACCCCCCATCACACAATATAATTGAAAAATATAATTTATATATATAATAATAATTAAATATATATAATAATTTATAATAGTAAATAATAATCAACTATATAATTTTTGTAAATATAAATTATTTTTATATAATTTTTATTTTTTGAGTGGTTAGAAATAATTTTTTACAAATTAAATTGAAATAACCCTACGTATGTATATAACCTGCCCAAAAATTAAAATGATAATTATTTTTTACCCTTAAATGATAATTATTTTTTATTTTTTATTTCTTAACCAAATTAATTTTTAATTTTTTTAAAAAAAATTTAAAAATCAAACCATACATAACCTAAAAATCTTTTGATAAATGACTTACATACATATGATTTAAGGGTAAAAATTTTGATAAATGATTTAAATGATAAATCAAATCATCCATAACCTAAAAAATTTTATCCTTAAACCATACGTATGTAACGGTAAAAATTTGCTATTATAAATTACAAATTATTTTTTATTATAAAAATTACATGCGTATGGTTCATATGACTTGATTATAAAAATTATTTATCAAAAGATTTTTATAAATTATTTAAATCTTTATAAATTATTTATAAAGATTATAATCAATTTTTATAATCAATTTTTACATACGTATGGTAATAATTTTTATAAATTATTTAAACCATATGTGTGTAATGGTAAAAATTTTTAGGGTAAAGATTTTGATAAATGACTTAAATGATAAATCAAACCATCTATAATCAAGTCATATGAACCATACGTATGTAATTTTTATAATAAAAAATAATTTGTAATTTATAATAGCAAATTTTTACCTTTACATACGTATGGTTTAAGGGTAAAAATTTTTAGGTTATGGATAGTTTGATTTATCATGTAAGTCATTTATCAAAATTTTTACCCTTAAATCATACGAATGTAAGTCATTTATCAAAAGATTTTTAGGTTATGTATGGTTTGATTTTTAGAATTTTTTTAAAAAATTAAAAATTAATTTGGTTAAGAAATAAAAAATAAAAAATAATTATCATTTAAGGGTAAAAAATAATTATCATTTTAACTTTTGGGCAGGTTATATACATATGTATGGTTGTTTCAATTTAATTAGTAAAAAATTATTTCTAACCACTCAAAAGATAAAAATTATATAAAAATAATTTATATTTACAAAAATTATATAGTTGATTATTATTTACTATTATAAATTATTATTATATATATTTAATTATTATTATATATAAAAATTATATTTTTCAATTATATTATGTGATGGGGGTGTGTGTGTCAGAGTGTGCGTGAGTGCTGTGGGGGGGGTGTGTGTCAGAGTGTGTGGGTTGGTTTGGTGTGATTTGAAAACGCCATTTGGAAACGCGATTTTGCATTTGAATAGTAGAAGCGCGATTTGTAATCGTGTTTTTTGGAAAAAAAAAAATTTGTAACCACGTTTTTTTCAGAAAAAAAATTTATGTTAAAAGCGCGATTTCAAATAGCGTTTTCTTAATTAAAATCGCGATTTCGAATAACGTTTTCACTATTCATCTAATTTTAGGCTCCAAACAGTGAAAGCGCGATTTGTAATAGCGCTTTAGCCTAGTTTGGGAAATCCGTCCAAACTAGGCCTAGTTTGGGAAATAGGATGCAAAAGAGGCTTAGTTTGGGAAAAGTCCCCAAATATGATGAATATATTTGAGATGACTTTTTGATTTTTTACGAAAATGTGTGCAAAAAATATATAAAAAATATATCTTTGACTTTTTTATATAGATTGTTGGTTTTTTATTTTTTTAGTGACTTTTTAACTTTTAGGATAAAATATTGAGATGTCAAACAAAGCCTAAGATAAAATGTGATATCAAATTCATGATCATTTCATTTTTTCTTTCACAAATATTATATTCAATTACAAAAAAAATCTAGCATTCTTTGCAAATATAAATATTTTAGCTTACTAAAATAGTCAATTTCGCAGATGTGACCAATATTTTTAAACAAAATTGATTATATATTTATTAACCTGATCTTTTAGTGGATGAGAGACTTTTTTTTTTTTTCTTTATCAATCATGTCACCTACTAACAATTGAAACCCCAACGTCTCGTATGAAATGTTGGGGATACAACCTTCCCTTATCTACATAACCACCACCCCGTATGCTCTGGCTCCTTAGGATCTCCCCTTCAACGTTCCTCGCACTATATTTATAGCCTTTTGCTATCTCAACAAGTCACGACCCTTCTCCAACCCTCTTCCAACCCTATCACAAATCAAACATATCATGTTTTAAAGCGGGAAGATCAAATGGTTTTGAGGAAAGAAGAATAATAAATATGAAAGTAGTGGTTGTGGTGATGATAGTAGCGATGATCAACTGAAGATGATGAAAAGAGATAGGTGAAATAATAAATTAGACGTGCTAAAGAGGTAGGAAATAAAAATAATAAACATGGGAGATACATGCCTAAAAGGAATGGAATCCAACACTGGCAAAACCCCAACCGCGACTTGGGTGACGTCCCACTTGTAGAATTATAATTCATGTCCCTAATTAGCACAAATTCAGGAATATTACTGTTTATATGAACAGTATAATAATTATAAAGTAATACATATATGGTCTCATAAATTTACTACAGAGGAGAGAAAGATCGTTGGCTGCAAGCTAAACGGATTATTTCTTCTTGTATAGCTTTTTTAGTATTATCTTTTAATTGTTTAATTTTAGAAATCCAACTAGCTACAGACGGAATATGCTGCAGAGGAGACAAAGTATTTAGTGTATCTATATGAAATTGTAATATTTCATTTAATTCATGCAGAAGTTCAGCAGACATAAAACATAATACTTACAGAATTTTTTTGGAGAAGTGTTCAAAACATGCTAAATCTTCCACACAAAGCTTATATAGCATAAGCTGAGATAAATTTTACAATAGTGAGTGCAAGAGAGGAAGAGAGTAAAAACTGAGATGTCCCAACAAGGTTGAGACCTTCCCTTTATATAGCCTTAATTTCGGATATTACATTTGGATAAGAAAAGATTATGGAGACATGTGGCATGTCCTAAATGGCTTAGAGTTGATTATCCTTATCTCCTTATCTTCTTGGCTTGTACCGACAAATTATGATGATATAGTTGGCATATACAGACAGAATAGATGGATAGATTGATGGATAGCTGACAAAAAGTAGTTCCCATAATTGCGGTAGTGGAGACAAAAGCTTTACTGTTTAGCTTTTGCTTTACCTTTGCGGGCCTTATCTCTCTCCACTTTCTCAATAATGATATCAGTGAGGGAATCCCAAAAATCTCCAAGTGACTCGTCAGTATTATCATTAGGGTCTTGGGATTCTCCAGCTAGAATATTAAATGCATTATTATCATCTTTCTCTAGATCCTTATCTCGACTGGCTGTGGAAATCATTGAGACGTCATCTCTGACATCAGATTCCATAGATTGTAGGAATTGTTCTTTCATGTATGCCATACATTGAATCAACAGGTCTTTATTAGATATCTCTGTATGTTTTTGTTTAA